ACACACACACACACACACACAAGGCAGCCTTTCCTTTCTCTGCTCTAAAGCCTCTTCTTTATGCTCCCAAAGGTCCTGGGTATACCTCGGTCACAGCACCTAGTACGACACCAAGTGCTACAGTACATACTATACTGTAATGACTGGCTACCTGCTTGTCATTTCCACTTGACTGTAAGCCCCTTGAACGATTGTGTCTTCCTATGTATCCACATGTCCAGCCATCAGTTCAGTACATGGCAGTGCTGGGCACTCAATAACAGTTTGAGATAATGGGTAAGAAACTGAATGAATTGAGGGGAGGGGTAGAAACTCTGCATTCTGAAAAATTATTTCAGCATCACCAGTTCCAGATGAACTGCCAGTCAGGCACATACACTACTCCAACTCCTAAACAGTAAAATGAACGTGATTATATATCAGGGGAATTGCTGATACAAAAACATTAGAATTAGAAATAGCGCTTTAATTCATAGACAGGCCCCAGGCAGAGCTGTCTTTAACACATTTCTCTTTCACTCTCACTCCTGATCCTGCTTCAGTTAGAAAAATGTTCTCATCTTCTCAACATCAGATTCCCCATACTGTCCCCAGATGCCACAATCACCTCCACCAATCACCCAATAATCTCTTCCTCATGAAATGTTTAACCGCCTCATGCCCTCAAAGAGTCTTGAATCACAATTGGGTAAGCTAAAAAAATAACCTCGTTTTCTGAGAAAATGGATGCTCGTGGGTTGGTATTCCCATCTTGGCAGGTAGATTTTTCTAAGGCGATGACTTCAGTCAAAGTCCAGCGGGAAAAGACGTTTGGAAATATGGGACCTTTCAGAAACCCTCCAGTCCCTCCAGTGGGATGAGCTCCTCCAGGCACTAGAGAGGTGGTGACGCGTGGTTAGGACAGGGCTCTGGAGCCAGGCTGCCTACCTTTGAATCCCAGCTCTTGTACTTTCTAGCCTGCTGATCTTGGGCAACCTCACTGACGCCAAAGTTTTCCACCTGCAAAATGAAATAAGACCTACCTCTTGGTGGGAGCTGGTGGGAAGATAAAATGGGTTAATTAAGGTAGAGTACACAGAAGAGTACCTAGTAAGTAGTAAGCAGTCAATAATTGTCACTAGTAATACTATGATTTTACTGTTATCATAACTGGCTCTCAAAAGCCTGAAGAGAGAAATTCCCCAAGATAGGAGAGGGGTGGGGAGGGCGAACTTACTGATTTGATTGTTGAGCTTGAATGCAATGTCCAGCTGCAGGATGAACAGCATGAACTGGAACCAAGGACTCATCTCCATGGAGGGGAGGGGAATGTGCACAGAAAACACAATGTCATTGGCTTCGATTTCCCTTGGAATTGCTTCCTCGATGTCTCGGATCTTGTCGCACTGGTTGAGTCCCCAAGGCATTAACCATTTTGCCTTGTGATGGTTTTTACGGGCATCCACGCATTTCACTGACATGTAAGACACTGCCGTTGTGGGCCCTGGAGCTGAAAAGAGAATGTTTTTCTGTTTTAGAAGAACCATCCACTGAAGCACCTATTTTTGGCAAACATTCTTTCCTCTATTGTCTTCTCTCCATTTTTCACACTGCCTTCTATAACTTGGATTCAGTAATTTCGAAAGCTCTCCCAAATTCAGGCGAGGATCCTTCAGTGACCTCCAGAGGTGTCAGAGAGCATCCCCAAGAGCCTTCCCATTGTTTTCAAGCATTGTTATTTACTGAAAGAATACATTTACAGCTAGTTTTGCTCAGTTACCTCTTTGCTCCAAACCAATGTCACAAAAATCAACTGTGTTTCAATTTCTGCCTGCCTAAGGATTTGGAGGGCTCTACGCTTCACAAAACACACTGTCTGAAGTCAGAAGCCCTGGGTCTGAAGGCTGGTCAAACAACTTACTCTCAGGTAATTTTGCGTAAATTGGTTAAATCTATAGTAGCTTCAGGATCCTCATCTGAGAAAAAAGATGGTTGGCTTCTAAAATTCCACCAAGGTTGTTGGTTTTTAAGATTCTTCTTAACTCTGAAATTTTACAACATACTTTTGATTGAGAAAAAGAATTATTTTGACTCTGGGCCCCCCCTTACTCTACCCAACAGAGAGTGGGAACCGAAACACTGACTGACCCTTCAAATGTACACTAAAATGTGATCAATGCATTTCAAAACGGATCATCGAACTTGAAATATATAACATTCACAATTTTGTGATTATAAAATGGTTATGTAATTAGAACAGAAAGTTTGCACAATACAAAAACGTTAAAGTTCAAAACACCATTTACCCAAAATCCCACTAGAGGGAAGTAACCACTGTTGGAAAAGTATCAAAACATTATCTGTCTTTCCTCTGAGTATGTGATTAGATAAAAAATTATATGAAGAGGAATTAATGTGTATAACTTTAAAATACATACTAATATTAACACATAGTTTTACAAAATAGGACCATACCATACATAGTATTGTAGCTTTTTTTTTTTAATTCACTTAGCAAAGCAGAGTAGCACAGTGGTGAAAAACAGCAGGTGTGGAGCCAACCTGTCTGGTGTCAGATCCTGACTCTCTAATCTCTGGTTGTGTCACCACTGATCCAAGCTAGGAAGTTCTGGGTGAATTACTAAACCTGTCTGTGTATTAAAATTAATATCTCTTAAATGGCAACAATAATAGTACCTACCTCTCTGAGTCATTGTATACACTGAACAAATTAACACTGAAAGTATTCAGAACAGTGCTTGAAAGCACATAAAAAACAAAATTAATTTTAGCTATCATAAATATTTTCATGTAGAAACATTTTCAACTAGTGGTTGCAAAATAATCACATGATATACCAATTTTCCTACACCCCCTTTGGTTTGTAAAGGTTTTGTATAAATAATAATTCTTTGCCTAATATGTTTTGTTATTAATTTATCTCAACTTTTCCATCTGCTGTCTCGATTTGCTTATGGCATATTTTAACACAGATTTCCAGATTTCACATATATTTCATATAAGGATTTCACACAGAATCTTTTCCATTATGTTTTCCCCATGCTTCCGTGTATTGAGACCTTCTTATCCCCAAATTCAATAGCCACCTTTACTGCTTTCTAGTGATTTTTAACAATTTCACTTTTTAAAATATATAAATAGTTGATGCACCTGGAATTTGTTTTGATATAAGAGATGAGATGAGGATCTATTTTTATTTTCCTAAATATTTAAATTATTCTTTACTGAAAAAACTCTCCTTTCTTGTTGATTTATGACATCACCTTATCTCATGTACCCCAATAGATGTTTCTGGACAATCTCCTCTATTCCATGCATTGGACTGGAAACTCATGGCCCAATACAACATGGTTTTAAATCATGTAATTTGATGATGTGTATCAATATCTGATAGAGTAAAACCTCTCCCCACTCCATTTCATATTTATATCTCTTTGCTGGGATTTGACGGAAATTACATTAAATCTATAAATTAATATGGACAGAGTCAGCATCCTTTCTCAGCATTTAGTTTTACTATCCAAGAACAGTGATTACTTCTCTATTAACTAGAGTCCATGTTGATATCTCTTTGAAAATTTTCATAGTTTTTTTTCATGTAGATCCTTTTACTACAATATATTTAAAAAAAACTATTTATAAAACTTTCCTCTGAAAGTTAGTAGTAAAAGGAAAACATTACAAATTACAGTTTATGCGCATGGTTTAGGTATGTTAAATTTCATGCATATGACACTTGGCACACTGTGCTTTCAGACCTTTTATGAACAGAAATCATCTCTTATTTAACAGAGATCAAAGAGTACCTGGAGGAATATGTAAAGCGAGAAGTCACTTAAGACACAAGAGTGTGTATTATTAATATTCTGCCTTACTTCTACTGCTCAAATAGACACTTTTCTATTGATCTGTTGGTAAATATCAATCCTAACAGTAAATTTTGAATAGTAAAATGTTATGTTCTCAGAAACTTGTGAAAATGCCTGCTAAAACTTACCAGAAAACATAGCACTGCTAAAGTCTAGGTGAAAGTTTCTCCATTCATATCCTGCACACTGCAACACAGAGCCACCACTAACCTACACCAGGGAAGTTTCCATTTAAAAGTTAAAACTGTATCATGAAGACATTTTACACATAATGCATCTAAAATCAGACATCTTGCTTATTATTAGAAATATGAATCAATCAAACTTTGGTTATCCTGACTCAGCTAAATAGCCCACTGACACTAGAAAGACCAAATGGCACATTTAACTAAACCCTTTTTAATGTGGTTGGAGATATAAACAGGGAGACAAAAGTCATGAATTCTATTTTTGCCTAACACACTCAAACTGACTATTTGCAGCAGAAAATAGTTACTGCATTTTAAAACTTCTATTCTTCCAAAATGAACCTAACCTTTTTTCATTTTTTTTCCTTTTGAAAAACAAGTCTCTCCCCTCCTTTGACTGAAATGAAAAATAACTAGCCGAGTTCCTCAGTTAAGCTCCAAAACCACATTCCAAACTTAATAACAGAGAAGCTGAACGCTTTACGGGCACAAAGGCTGCATTTTTAATGGACATAGTGAACCCCTGCCTTTGTAGCAGCCTGAATTATTTTCATTTTTTCATTAGTCTAGTGTTTCTCGCATAAAGAAAAAAGTCCCGGGAATACTAGTATTTCATAAAGATCATGGCAGTGAACTTGAAAAAAACCTCAAATGCATCTCTGAGAATCACAAATATTTTTCTTTGCTTGAATAAATCAGTCTTTTAGTCTCAAAAACGTTTTGCATAACTTTAAAAAACCAGAAGATAATGTTATGATAACTCACAGAGAAAAAAATGTGACAATGAGTGTGTATATGTCCATGAATGACTGAAAAATTGTGCTGAACACTGGAATTTGACACAACACTGTAAAATGATTATGAATCAATAAAAAATGTAAAAAAAAATATAAGCAGTTAATGTAAAAAAAAAAACCCAGAAGATACTTCAACATTTTCAATTTTTCTAGTTGTGCTCAAAAGGCAAAACATTTGCATTGTTTGAGAAAGTAAACAGACGTTCTGATATTTAAATATGGACAGTTAATGTTCTCCCAATAATATGTTCACAGTTCTAGACAATTCCTACTCCAGCTAAAAGTGAATTCCTAGGTATCTCTTATGTAGTAAGTATATCAAAGTGAACTAAAAACAAAGCTTCTAGCTGGTTGCCTACTGTAGGTGTTTTCATCAGCTGTAGCCAAAAACTGTGACTATATGGATCACAAAACAGGGTCTAAAACCAAAAAGAAGTTTGATTTCTTTCTTTAAATTTAAAAAAAAATGTGAGGGATTTTATTATAAGAAAAAAGAATGACATGGAAGAAGCTGAAATTATTTGTAAACTTTGAACAAGCCACAATCAACTAACCAACAGTTATATGCAAGGGAAGCCTTCGTTAGTCACCAGCGTGGTTCTAGGGATTAATAGTTTGTGTACTTAAGAAGGGGCTGGATGGATTCAGGTCAACAAACTGAGTCATGTTTGCTCAGGTGAAAGCTAAAAATAATCACTCCTCAGTGTTCCAAGGATAGTAATGTAATATCACCCAGCTGCCTAGGCACACATTACAAATGTCTCCTCTCCATATCCATAGCATTTAGCTGAAAACAAGGGGGCCCAAAGCTACTTCTACATCAGTACAATTTAGTAGGCAGAGCAACGCGGCCCAAAATGAATATGCCCTGGCACTGTGGATTGGTTACTTTATGGCAGGTTAATACAGCATGTAGAGTAGGAACAGAAGTTAGAAAGCCACAAGTTACTCTTTGAAAACACCACCCCAGTTTGAGGCCAGTTCTATTTGCCATGTCAAACATAGGCCATTTGTTTTTCTTTTTTTTAAATCTGTATTTCAAGACAGAATTTTTGGCCTCCACCTCTCCACTGCAGCAGAGAACTGTGAAATCTGACACCACACAACATTTAATTTTAAAATAAAGTTGATATGAAATCAATAAGACTTCTAATTCAAGGTTATGGAAAACTGCACACAGTCTGAAGTCTCTTTGAAAACTGTGACCTTCAATTACATACATTACTAAGGCTCATACTGCATTCACCAAATACGTCTTGAGTACCTACTATGCACTAAGCCCTGTTAGGTGCTTAAGTGAGCCTAACAGACATCAGTCACTTGGAATACATAAATAATGGGGAAAACAGACAGTACCTAAATAATCACAGGAAAAAGTAATTACAGTTGTAGTGATACTATATTTATTACCCTGACATTACCTGAGAAAGAGCAATAGTCAGATATTTAGAAGGTAGGAGAAACAAATGCACTAAAATGAGGCAACGATTCCAGTCATCATTACAATTGACCTTGAATAAAAGTGTAACTGAACAATGACTAAACCTGTACTTCTTTTGGAAGAATATTCATTGACCCCAGTCAGCTTCCTGTTACGGCATCTCAAGGGCTGTCCAGTTTACAAATTACTATCCAGCCAACCACTACCGCTATCATGCTCAAAGCTGAGTCAACATCAAATCATTAGCCCCTACTCCTGCCAGAACCTACAATTAAAGAGCTGGATAGAGATACAAGACTTGGTTGCCTCCTAGAAAAGTTAAAATAAAACTAAAACAACACGCTGACAGGACACATGGTCTCCGTTCAAGCCAACACAGACTATTTATTTCTCTGCTTTATTACAAGTAAAGATTCCTTTAGCAATTATCCAGGAGTATTACTATTATGTGGGCACTGTGTTACCTAAAGATAGTGACAAATGACAGTAGTCCCAGAACCCGAGTTGCTCACAGTACAGTGTGGGAGGCTGAGAAGTTGGCTGAAAAGTACATCCTGATTGAAACGTGCCCCTACAGATGCCTGCACAGGACGCATCATCTGTGATGAGGGCTGGGAGGGCTGCTTGCCAGAGGCCGGGACTTAGACTTCAAAGAGGCAGGTTTCACTAGCCAGGCGGGAAAGGGGACCGGAGTGGGGAAGGCGCTGAAGAAGACCATGTGCAGGGTCAGTGGATATCCAGAAAACCACAAGTCAGTCGTCCCTCTGTATCCACAGAGGACTGCTTCCATGACCCCCACAGAGACCGAAGTCTGAGAATGCTCAAGTCCCTTCTATAAAATGGTGCCACACATTCAGCCCTACTTATCAGCTGATCAGTCGTGGCTGGTTCATCTGCAGATACTGAAGGCCAACTGTATGGTCCACGTTTGAGTATTAAATTTAAAAGAGATCAATTAATAGGTGAAAATGCTGCACCATCCAAACCTTGCTCCAGCCCTTTGCTTTCTCTGACCAGTGGTCAAGTTCTCTAGGGGACCTTGGCTTCTGCTCCCAGCAGTCTCTGCTTCACTGACACAGCAATGTAAAGGAGAGACCCACAATTTTATTTGGGAGAATCTTTCCTTCTAAGACACTGTAGGTATCTTGTAGGTAGCCACAGGGCCAGACACGAACAAAGGGTGGTCAGGAAGGAATGGAGAAGCTCCTTCTCCTGTTGTGGCAATGGGGTCTCCAAAGAGCCTCTGCGGTCTGTAATCAGGAATAGCCTCCACCTAAATTAGAGGAAGCCTGTCTGCCTTGCAACAAAAATGGTATTTCAAGATTAATCTGCTTTAGGCTCCAAGGGGAAGAGATGTGGAGAACAGACCAGTTAAAAGGGTAATTCCTGTTTATAAGCATTAATAACCAGAATCCCTCAATTTGAAAAAAAAAATACGATTTTAAGTAAAAATGGTCGAACATTTCAGAAGTATTTTAAATAATTTTATTTTTACAATAGCATTTTAGCTAACAAAAGTAAAAAAAAACTATACACACCATTTTAAAAACATGTAATCATTTCACAGTGTATATTAGTCAAATAATTATTCTATCTATACACCTACAACTTATACAGTGCTGTATGTCAGCTGTATTTCAATAAAACTGGAGGAAGAAATTCAACAATTGCTATCAGATACTTTCTACTGACTCAAGAGGGAGGTTTATTTAACTCTTTAAACCTAGTCTTAATTCAAAATCTGCTGTCTTAATCTCTGCACCTGTGAAAACATGAATAATTGGTTTACTTATCTATTTTTTTAAATTTATTTATTTTCTACCTTGTTCCCTAAACATTTTGGATTACTAGGAAGTGAATATAGGACTATTTTTTAAAAAGAGTCAAGGCTGATTTAAAAGGTTAGAATTAACGTTTGGGGCACTAAGAATTACTCCGCCTATGTCTATGTCTCTAAAAGGAGAAGACAAAAGCTGGGTAACTTTAGCCCTCACAACTCTCACCTGAATTACAGCTAAATGGTTCAATGTCATTTCACTTTGTAATATGAAGGAAACTTCCATTGCCTGGCTGTGAATGGTATTTATAGGAAGTTCATAAAAGATTATATACTCAAGTTGGTTCTAAGCTTTGCCTATCTGAGTATCTGTCCTTACCTAGATGAGAATTTATATGAAATGCATTGGGCATTTAAGGCCCTTGGACAGTTCTAGGGTTCACTTAGAATTTTTTGATTCCCTCCGACAGAAGGGAGCAGGGAGAAGCGGAGAAGGAAGAGGAACATAGGCGGCAGAATCCAAGGAGGTTAGGGATTTACGTAGCTACAATTTTCATTCAAAGGGCCCTCACAGAACTCACTGAACATAAAAGAATCTCCAGCTAAATGTAGAAATTACCTTTAAATGTAAAAACTGAGTTCCCTCAGAGATTGTGCCTGTCTTTCTCACACTCAGAAACCTCCCACTTTAATTCTAGTTAAAAGGAAACACGTGGGATATACTAGACAACTGAAGCAGCCAGACTGTACTATATGGTGGAGTTGTGAGGTTTTAGACAGCTAGCGATTCCTTGAGACAATTCTGCTTACTGTTCCCTTCAGGTAAGTTCCTAAAAAGATTCCTTAGTGTCTACCACAGCATGTATCTAAGTTTTAGAATGTCTCCTAATAATGACCACTTCAGATTTTTCAGCTAAAGAACGTGTAAATACTTGTGTTAAACTGACTTAGTGCTTCGGAATTAACTGACTCGGTCTGTTAATTCCTTCACTGAAATTGCTCTGAAGTTAAAATGGTCAGTCACTCACTCTGCCTGTGACTGACTTTGAAGATGAAATTCTTCCATATTTCAAATATACCAATTAAATCTTACTAGATTACTAAGTGAAATATTATTCACAATTCAATCTCAATTACTGGAAAACCAAAAATGGGTGTGCAGGGCCAAAGCTCTGGAGAAGTAATTTTTGGAATTATCCTAACCATGCCCTAGTGTGTGTAATGGGGTACACTAAGTGACTTGTAATTCATTCTTGCCAGCAATTTTCAGTAAGTAGTAGTTAATTATGCTAACATCTGTTCTAGGAAAGCTAAATTTTTAAACACAGCAGAACATTCCTCTACACTAACCTACTACCACCAAAACACACAAATACACACACATCACATAGCAGAGCTGAATGCAAAGCAATTTGTACTGTACACACACAAGTCAAGCACGTATTTAAAAACAGTTCCATACAATATAAACTTATAAATAAATGACAGACATTTTGACAGCAAACTTTCAGAAATTGTAGCAAACACTTGTGTAACTCACTCTGACTTAAAAAATACTGCATAATAGTGTATGTTTACATCTTCCGCTGATGAGGATTTTAAATGCTTAGCCTGCAACCTCAATTGTTCTGGAGCCAAAGATGTAGCAGATTTGAAGAATAGAAGAATTGCTCTATATTTGTCAGAATCTACACAGCAAACAAGCAGCGCCACTTGGCTTCCATTACTTGCCTGGCTTGGATCCCGTGGAATTGAGGAGTGTTGGAACCGAGAGGAAAAAAATTAGAGTGCTTTGGGACACTGAGCCAAATTCTTACATAGTATTTGAAATGCCATGGTAAACATGAAGTTACTTTAGGCTCAAGAGTAGTGCCAGGTTTCTTTCCCCTTTTTGAAAAAAAATAATAAAATGCATAAAGGGCCCTTCCAGAGACTTAGCTTATAAAATCTGCCAACCATTAGACGTGCTAATTGGAGAAGCAATCCTGAATTCCAAAGTCAGATTAAGACACTGACCCTCAACTTTGGTGTCTGGCAACAAAGAGAGACTAAATTAAGAAGCTCAGCAGAAGTCCACCAGATCACTAATTCTAACCTCTAGCTCTGAATACCTACAATGACTGTTTCTCCATCACCCCAGAAATACTCAAAACAGTAAAAACTAAATACACATGAAGGGAACACAAAAGACCTCCACGGAAAAACCAAATGGCTCATCTGTTGATGCTATTGCTCATTGCTCGGCAAACCAGTCATCTGGGCTAAATTTTTGACTTTATGCCAGTGCGTCAAAATCACCCACCATTCAGCCAAAAGGCTGTGGAATACAGCCAAGACCACCTATGGAAAGTGAATTATAGCATCTTATAATTTACTACCTTGGCTATGATCTCATAAACCCAGCATGGAGGGCGAACCAGCTCTGTGTGGGAAACCTCCCAGAGGCCCAATAGAGGCCCCTAGAGCTGCTGGCAGAGCTCTGGGGGTGGAGGTGACACAGAGGTGGCCAGCTGGCTGTACAAGCGGGCCAGTCTGCCACCGGCACACCTTTGGAGAGAAACTTTAGGGCTAGAAAACCCCCAAATTCAGTCTTCTAGGAGAAATGGCTGCTTTGTTCCGAAGTATCTTTTGTACTGTATAATAATTTCACACACGTATTATCTAAAATGTGTTAATAGACATGTATGATTTATAAATTAGATATCCTTTTATCAATATTACCAATGTTAATAATGAACACAAACACTAACTAATATGTGGATTGCACATTATATTTTACAAAGCACTGTCAGACACTTGGATCATCCAATCTTCACAGTAAACAGGTCAAGTTGTTATTATAATGGTCCATCGTTGCATGTGCATAAGATTGGTGGTTTTGTCCCACCAGTCAGTGGCAGAGCTGGGACTAGAACTACCCAGTCTGACTTCATATCTGGTGCTCCTTCCAATATGCCACATTGTCTCAATTGCCAGTTTATTATTAGCCCTCACTATTTATTAGCTCTCTCAAATGACTGAGAGGTAATATGCAGAGCAGAAAGATGGATAAGGAAGACTGAATAGGGCCATAAGGAGCTCCACAGACAAGGCATCGCCCAGCACTGGGCTGAGCAGGGCATCCCACAAAGGGAACCAGTGGGACAGCTTCTCGGGAAGACGACAGTCAGCGACAGACGGCCTCGGCAGAGTTCCAGAAAAGGAGAGTGGAATAACAGGCTTCCGAAAGTGCACTGAACTCGCCTGAAATAACGGCTACTCTTCCATATCTTACTGGAGTTTTGGTTGTAACTTCAAATTCCAGGCCAGCAGTCTGGAGTATCAGCCTAGAGAAGACCCGACCCAGGAGCATATGACAGAGCTGCATGGAAGAGTCTGTGACAGACCGTGCAGGCAGGTCAAGGGCCAAGGTACAAATGAGGCTGACTTTAGAGCAACGTAAGGAAGAATTCACTGGCAATTCCCGTAGGCAGACAATGGCACAATTTGACTCAGGAAAGGGCGAGCTCCCCATCCATGGAAACATTCAGGAAGTAACAGAATAGATAAGAGCCTGAACTAAGTAAGTTTTTCTCAGTGATAACAAAATGGTGAAGTCTTCTATTCATACACGTGGAACGCTAGAGAATGGAGCCCGTAGGGCCCAGTAAAGAACTTCATGTAGTTTCTTTATGTTTCTCCATATTCTGACTCATTTTGAAAGACAGATAAAAGCAATTAAAGGAACGAAAGTACAGAACATTCTGAAGAGTCAAAATTTTAGTGTTGGACAGTACAAGCCGAGACTAAGGTCAAGCAAGGTCTGTTAATGACTTCATCTGGAATTTCACAAAAGCCAAGAATAATCATATCCCCTTCCCGGATTATTCAAAGAAAAGTGGGACCTTTTACTCTGTGAATTCCCTAGAACTGGAGGTAGAGGTACATGTTAAGGGTAAACTGTAATTTTAACAGTCACATCTCAGGAACTGGATTTTTTTAAAGCAGTGAAATAACAAAAGTAAAATCACTATGTACTTGTTAAAGTATTTTAATATTTTCATCAGTCCTAGGTGGGAACTCAGGTGCCACCTCCTTCATTCAGTTTGTTAAATGCCAGCATCTGAGGTCTCCGCCAATTTTCCTGCAGTAACAAATGATCCTTACTTCCTCTGATCCCAGTATCACCTGCTCTATGTCTTTATTATAGCATTTTACTTTATTTGCAAACATAGTTCCTGGATCTACAAAATCATAAACTCCAGTGGGGAGGGACCATGTTTTATCCCTCCTTATGGAACCAAGCACAGAGGTTTGAACATATAAGTACTCCAAACCTGAAACGGACTATTTACATTAAAGTGTCTTTATGTCATAATAAACTTAACATTAAGTTATGCTCAATTTACCAAATAAGCTTTTATCAAAAACTTATTAAGACATCATTTTTTAAATGCCCTAGTGGATGAGATCCATGGCCTGTCTATATCAAAGTACAATTAAGACTAGCATTCAGAGAGAGTTTGGGAAGAAGCCATGGCTGCCTTCCATGATGCCAACCTCTTGATGATACACACGGGCTCATTTCTACTTATAACAGTTCTTGCAGATCTTTATTAACCTATATATGAAATGAATACTGAATTTTGAGGATCAAAATGAACTTGTCCTAAACTGAAACACTCACCCCAAGAAAAAGGTAAATTTACACATCAAAAGAATGTGTGTGAGAGACAACAGGCAAGCAAAAACTTTTTGAAATTTTGAAAAATTTCTTTCAAAGGGTTTGTAACCAATATTAAAACTATGGGAGCATGCTTAGACACCACTCTTTAGCCTGTTTCCTGGAAACTGAGGTTCTCAAAGGTAGGACTTAAAGTTATTTACCCTATATCTGAAGGGATCCAGGCCTACATAATAGAAAGAAAAACAGGAGACAAAGTGAGATAAAATATTCACATCTTAGCCTTAAATGTACATCATAAATGGCAGTATATTTGAAGCTTTTACAACAAAATCTGTATTCTTAAGAACCTACATAAGAAAATTTGGGGCCATTTTGGGCCATCCTCCAAATAAGTCACTCCCTTTTAAAGGCATCAAATCCTACTTTGAAGATCAAATCTACAGAACAGGCTCAGAAGACAGAAACCCGAGCAAAAGACTCTTCTACTGCATGTATGATCTGTTTACCCAGCACTCTGAGTTTTTCTCTCTGGTCCAATGAATTACATATGAAACTTATGGGGAAAAGTAGCAAAGAAAAACAATGGAAGACTTCTGGTCTTCCTGTGGAGCACAGGACGGGTATCAGAAGTCTTGAAATGACACCTGGAGCTTCTGAATGGTGACGAGCAGTTTTAGTTGTGACTGAGGGAAGAGCTAGTTAGGAGGAGGAATTTGCACGTTAATTTGTTGATTAACGTGGGATGTGTGTGAGAGAAGTCAAAGATGTCCCCAAGTTCCTCGCACAGGCAGCAGATGGATGGCAATGTGATTTGCTAGGAGAGGAAATCAAAGGAAAATGAATGATACGTCATATGACAGGCAGAATATACAGAAGCTCTAAGTATAGAGCTTGTTAAATCAAAGAGCTCAGTTTGCATTGGGGGGGTGTCACAAATAAAAGGTCAAAACATGAATGAGTAAGATTTGGAAGAGAAATTAGATTTATTCTTGGTGGTTCCAATGTTGAAAGTTCTAAGACATAAAATCTGAGATCAATAAAATCAGACAGTAAAAAGTTAACCAGACTGGTTGAAGACAATGAGTTGCCCACACCTGTGTGAGTAGAAGTACTCCTGCTGGTGGCGCCAGTAAGTGCAAGGAGCGCAGAGGACACCCAAGCACTGGATGGGGTGGAAAGGCGGCCTTGGGGGCCTTCTCCACCACCACAATCTGTGGGCACTCTTCATACACTCACAGCGCCAGTTCTGGGCCACTGGTGGTCTGCTCGTCCTGAACTACACAAGTGTGAGGATAAGAATCTTAGTGGAATGAATTATCCCAGGAATCAGGATTGTGGAGTTCTAGTCCTGGATATGTCACTATCCAGGCAAACTGTTCGACCAGTCTTGGGCCCCAGTTCGCTCAACTGTAAAAGGCAGTATTTTAACTGCTAGGTATTCCTAACCTAGAAATTCTTTCACTCTAATGGAAATTTATATGTTCTATGTTATGGTGAAAGTCATTCTTTTAAGGTTAAAAAAAAAAAACCTTAAATTAGGATCACTGTATATGCCAATAGTACAGGCTGCCAAGACTTGCCCATCTAGGCCCCTTCTCCTCTCATTTTCTGTGTGTTTTCACATCTGTTAGAGGAAAAGACCTTAATCTCCTACCCTGTTCTGTTCTTTGTAGAGGCCAGAATGGGCTCTGGGTGTTTTCTATCTTCCAACAACTGGTGTAATCAACAAACTGTTTCAGAAAATAAGGGCAAGCTACAGCCAACTGTATATGTAAAATTTCATACCGATATATTCAGCACCATGAAATATACCCATATAATATATACTATATGAAGGTGGTCCAATCTAATCATAATGAAACCTTTTAGGGAAAAAAATCAAAACTGCATTCCAGTTTCCAGCCAGTGGCCCATACACTCACAGTATAACTCAACACAAAGACATTCCAATACAATGAAATAATCTGGAGCATCTCCAACCTCTATTTTTCAGGATGCTAGAAATAAGCTCAACAGAGCTGAGTCTATTATTCAGAAGAAATGGAAGTCGTGGCAAATACTGCCGTAAGCCAAAAGATCATTGATGAAATTTGTTAATGAGGTATCAATTCATAACATTCACTCGTATTTTCATTTAAACTGCTGGGTTCTTAATATATTTCAAAAGTTGCCCAGATTATGGAAAAAACATTCCATAACAGAAAGTGACAATTACAGTGCAGCAAGGGAAACGCTTTCACAAGAAGCGTTCTTTAGGTTGCTACAGGCACCTACAAAAATGGGAGGGAGGATATAGCTTAGTGATAGAGTGCGTGCGTGGCATGCACAAGGTCCTCCCAGCACCCCCACTGAAAAAAAAAAACTACTACTACTACTAATAATAATAATAATTTAAAAATACATAAATAAACCTAATTATCTCTCCCCTAAAAAATTTTTTTTTAAAAATAGGCATCTACAAAAGCACAGTAAGAAAACTCAAAAGCGAGTCAGAAAAACTCGGGTTCACATCCCAGCTCAGTTACTAGCTATTTAGTTGGGCAATTTACATAACCTTACAAAACGCCAGTTTCTCCTTTGTAAAATTTTACTAACAGTACCCACCTTAAGTTTGTTGTAAAGATAAAATGGTTGATAAAGAGAGCCTATCACAGTACCTTGCCCAGAGTGAGGCCTTAGTGAACGTTAAGTATTGACACTAACAGTGCTGTCAGCAGATAGAGAAGAATCTGGTGGGAAATGGCAACTTACTCCTTCCTCTCTATCCTGTCTTCCCCCACCCCCTACAGGATGTGCTCATCAACATTCAAGGAACTAGAAGGTCTGAATTTGGGGTCTTAAAAGTGAAGGTTCCCCTTGCAGTAAAGAGACCCAACAAGCAGAGATGATTCTATCAGAATTTTAACCTGAACATCTAAGAAGTCTTTCCCCAAGAAATACCCCAGCAATATCCTAAGCAGCCTGTTGTCCGAACACATAATTAACCCTTAGTTTTCTCCTCAGTGAAATGGGACCATAATATCTCTTTTCACAATTGTTTTCACAAATTATTAGAAAATAACTCTAGCCAAATGTACTGATGTGTCTTCCCCACCTGCTCTCCTCCTCCCTGCAGAGAGAGAGATGGCTGGGTTTGCTTGCTCTGCTGCGTGCCCTCACCTGTCCTCCAACAAGGGGTTCGACTATTGCTAAATGAAGTCTGTGGGTTTTCATGATACACAGTTAAGAGAAAAGAGACAAACGGAAGAGACGGGCTTGGGTTGGGGAGGGAATTTTATCAGTGGCGGTTTGAGGGGTATTTTGGAAAAGAGAGGTTAGAAGCGTCAAAGTGGTTGGGAAAGACGAGGGAGATTTCTAGAAGTACTGCTACAGATTATATGTCTTCTTTACCATGTTTCACCGTATGAATAGAGAACTGAAGTTATCATGTCATTTTAAATTCATTTTTGGTGGACTGTCCATTTGTTTGACAGAATCACTAATGCAAGATGGATCTATTAGGTCAGTCATGTCTTTGATAGGACCAATACTGAAAAAATTAAGATAACAGGTACAAAACCTTCATATAAACCTTTAGCAGGATTTATTTAATAAGCATCTGACATTGGGAATATGAAAGGGATGAACATTTTAGAAAGGCATACTAGGATTATGGGATAGAACATATAAAGTTAGAGCTACAGCTACAGGAGATCATCATTTTATTTCAATATTCTGTTCAGCGTCTGGGCTGCTTACAATCGGAGAGCTGCTGATGCCACTTCCCATTAGTATTCTTGGCTGCCCTGCCCCCAGCCCTCTGCCCCAGGGTTTCTCAAGGCATCACTGAGATTTGGGCTGGCAAAATGTTGTGGGGGCTGTTC